GATAAGAAAAAATCTGTATATGTTTAATGTGGACACAACTTATTTTTCCCCCCTGAATGTTTTTGATCTGAGGTTAGTTGAATCCACTGATGCACAATACAGGGCTATGGCGGGTAGGCTGTACTTTAAGGATTAGAAGAGGCCTTGGAGTCCTACCACCAGTCTTCTTCTGTTCAGCAGTATGCAAGATTAAGCAGTACTACCAGATGTAAACAGGGAAAAGATCAAAATAAATGATGTAAATGACTTTGGATGGAAATTTTAGAATGGGAAGTGGAGGGATAAAACAAATTATTTATCTTTATAAATCATAGATTAAATTGTATAGTCAAAGGCAAACTTAAGGATACGTGATCACTAAAATGTTCTATGAGATCCTGGCATAAGCAAAAGACATCAGGTGTGCAAACTAAGGAAATATGGGTGAAGAATGGACTTCAGTTAACATAGCAATACTAGTTAATGTAACGCCATACTAATGTATTATTAATAATGGAGGAAGTGAGGTGCTCAAGTCATATAAGCTTGTAAAGTCTTTAATTCTTCTATAAATCTAGAACTATTCTAAAATAGAAAGTTAATTAAAAAATTTTGGTAGTATTATTACCAATATTAATATTTATAATATTTGTAAATGATTTAAAATAAATAACAAAATATATAATTCTATAGTTGAATTGGACAAAGTTAGGGATGGTTATGTGTTTCATTGAAGTCTTACCTGAAGGGCAGAGGATAGATATGTAATTTATGTCACTTCTCTCTGGGTGGCCCAGCTGATAAGGATCATTTCATGTGAAAAAGATTCCTGCAGCACCTTCTTTTAAATTATTTTATCCTTATAACAATCTTGGGAGTATAGCAAGCATTTTTATCCCTTCTTAACAATATTTTTAGAAGTGTTTTTTTCCTCTGTGTATTTGCTGCCTTAGCTAAAGGTATAAATTATTAAAATTAAATGATGATTTTTTTATAGCTAGAAATAATCTAGAGTCTGTATATTATATATACATAGTCTACGTATGTAGATTATGTTTTATATAAATTTTTACAAAGGGGCCATGGTAAATTTATTGCCTTTAAGAGCTGAAAATTAATATTTATAATGGAAAATATAATGCAGAGTTCTTTTCCAGAATTTATCATTATGGTGTAAATAGTGCATCATGAAATATTTTGTAGGTTTTTATATTTTTATTGCAGCAAACAACATTTGGATTAACGCCCCCCCCCAAAAAAAAAATTATACCTGATTGATAAAGTAATTCTTCAGAGACGTCTGTGCTAAGGAAAACTTTGGAATTTATCCTCAGAGGCATTAAAAGTCCAGAGTAAACTTAAGACTACACAGTTCTAAATCACTGGAATAAGGGTTAGTGTAAGTAGTTTTTCTAAGATATCAGCCCAGAGCAGGAAATATGAAAGAGAAACATAGATTACCTGACTTACTAGTATAGTGGCCTAGAATGGTGGAAGTAAATGGACAAATGAGGAGACGGTGAATTACCATCCAGAAGTAAGGACATTGGTGGTCCTCACAGCTTACATTGCATTTTGGTAAGACTTTCATTATCTCTTTATTAGAAAGAGGTAAATTTTTCTCACTAGAAAATTAGTAGTCTTATTAAAGCACAATATAGTTTAAAATGCGTGGGTTTTTTTTTTTTTTTTTTGGCTTTTTAAAATATCTCTTGGGACTACCACACTAATATGTAATTACTTTTAAAATTCTCAGTTCCCCTTTTCCATGGTAAGGCTTGATATTCTAAACAATATTGTACCACCAAGTTATCTCCATTGTAAAACTCAGCTTGCAAGCAAAAAATGTATTTTAAAAATAGGCTTTAATGTTTTTGAGTAAATTTTTTTAGTACCTTTCAACTTTTTGGTGACTAATTTTTATTAGAGTGTTTAATTGTATGTTGAATTGGTAGAGATGTCTCAGAAGAAGCAATTTTTTGTAGAAGTATTAACCATGGGCTGGTATGTTTAGCTAGATGCTGAATTTTAGTAGATTGATTCAAAATTTTCTGGTAATGTCAGTAAGGATACATGTGAGTTGGAACTATAAATTTTGAAAGAATCAGTATGTAATTTAAACTCAGCTTTCTTTTTAAATATTAATACAAATGAAAACACATGTTACATAATTGTATATTATATATAGATGTAAACTAATACGAATTTTGCAAGTATTAGTAGTATATTCCTTTATATATAATATATATGTCATATAGTATTTTCTTAAGCATATACTTTGTTGTTTTTGAGCATTCCATATGTGCAAAGCATATGTCTGTATAATAGAGGGTTGCTAAATGATTTTCAGAGATCTTGAAAGTTCCTGAGACCTAACCTCCTTAGAAGGTCTGCAAAGTCAGAACTATTAGGATAATACTAAAATGTTTTTTGCCTCTGACTCTCAATTCTCTACAGTGGTGTTTTCTACATCACTCTGAAGAAATTTCTGAAATGATATCTTTAGATATAACCCAAATAAATAAAACTTTTTGTCGCCCTCAGTAATTTTTAGGAGTGTAAAAAGGTTCTGAAATGAAAAAGTTTTGATAGCTTTTTCACTGTGAGGCACAAAGTTTGAGACAATTCTAGCAGATAAATAAGAGATACAGTGTATTTTAGTAAATAGTAGATGGTGGTTAAGAGCCAAGAGATGGTCCAGAGTAAATGTTCATAGTTAGATTTTTGACATTATTTTCATTTTGGCAATTAATTATAATTAATTTACCAGTTAAGTCTTTCTGTGTAATGGGCCCTGAGAATTACTTCTTACTTGTTAGAATCGAAAAGAAAATTGAAATTAAACTGGTTTTGATTATGTGTGTGTGGGAAAGAATGGGTCATATATCTTTAGTTTTTTTTTTTAATTTTAAAGTATTTTTGTTGTTAAAGGACAACATGAGGTTTCGTACTGAACTTTTTTTCTTTAGTACACAATGTATCACAGTGGGTACATTGTTTTGATTCTTTTTTATTTTTTTTGCCATCAGCTGGCTCTCAAAGACTATGGAATGTAACAGAATTTAAGTTACTTTTTCTATTAAATGGTAGCTAATTAAACGCAGGGAAAACAAGGGGATGATTTGACAATATAATGACTATATCTGGAGTTTCCACTACTATTAAATAATTGGGTTGTGTAGACTTAGGTTGGATGTTCTGTGCATTCAGGAAAAGCTATCTGAAAATACCAAAGAAGAGCGTTAAAAATAAATGTGGGGAGGTCACTTTGCAAGAGAATGCAAGGAAAGAATTACAGTGTATATGTATGCCTAGGAATGAAGAGTATATCTTTATACTTGACTTTGCAACAGTTGAACTTATGTAGTGTTAAATGGAAACAACTTATGTGTAATGAGAGCTATAGTACTTAACATGGTAAAGTTTGGCAATGCAGTAGAATAGTTGATTGAAAAGGTACACACTTGTATATCTAAAGAGGCACCAAAGACTCCTGGGGTACATTAGTAAATACTAGACTGAAGACTTTTATTTTAAAGTTAGATCCTTATTTTTGGGATATTAATTGTTAAACCTGTTTGATGCATACATGAGGGTTTGCTATTCTAGACTTTTTACTTTTGTATGTGTTTGAAATTTTCCAAAGCAAAAAAGTGCTAAAAAAGAAAAGCAGAGAAATAAGGAAAAGAGGAACCCCTAAAAATGGTATAGGCAAAAAAGCTGTAAAATAAACTCATCCAAGAATATTAAATGAGAACCATATCATTCCACTGATGTAGTGCTCAGAGAGAAGGCATAATGGCTGAACTAAAAGGAGATTGGAGAAGAAAATAAATGTAAGTCAAAAACCTTAGGATTGTGAATATTAAAGACTGCAAGTATTCATATTGCCAATGAAAGGTCATAGTAGTTTCTATAAAGTAAAAAGATCAAAAATTTGACTAAAAGATTAAGATCTCTGAAACCAAAGGTAACAGCAGATGCTTATGAAATGCTCAAGAAGGCTGGAAAGAGAGAAGAAATAATATGTGAACTTATGGAACGACAGTGGTAAGGGCCAGTTCTACCCAGGTATGTCATGAAATCAACTTCATCTAGTTTGGGTGTTTTTCCTTTATCATGGGAAATTTAAAAAAGCATAACTCATTCTTTAGTGAAGGAACAAAGCTTTATTGAGCAATTGCTTTATTGAGCAATAAACTGGTATGGACAATTTAAGGAATGAGAGTATTCTGAGTTTATTGGTAATTGAAAACTGGATAAAGGGAGCTAAGACAAGAGAATTCCATCTAAAATAAATGACTTGAAGGTGTGGTGGACAAGAGTAAGACTGGAAACTAGAAAACATGGAAAAGAAAATCTGTTATGTAGCACCAGTTTCTCTTTCTATGGGAGAGTGTTGTGCTAGAGAAACTTGTGTTTATTATAACTACTCAAATGTAGAATTAAGGAGGCAAACACATTTTGCTAAGATTTTCTTTAGGTTATTTGCATGAATTAAATATTGTTCAGAGTGATTTGTCTCTGGGAACTAAAGGGCTTATTGTATTTGTTTCATAGTTACAATTATTTGATTTAAAGTGTGTTTTCATAAAGAAGATAGTACTTGGATAAAAGAGTATAAATTACTATGTCAGGTTTTTGTTTGTTTGTTTGTTTGTTTTTTTAACATTTGGCTTCTCACTATAAATCATGGAAGTAAATTTTCCAAGTCCCAGACTTGGAAATACATTCTTTATGCTGTGTTTGCTTTTCCATAGGAAGTGGAGTAATGCGGTTAAAATTAGGTTAATTTTTAACCTAATACAGGTATGTATCTTAGTTTAAATAATTAATGATTTTATTGAAGTAAATTATTTTTTCCTACAACCCATCACCAAATAATTTTTTATAAACGTAACAATTAACTTTCAGGAGCCATTTGGAGTGGTCAGCTGTAAGCCATGCAGCCATCGTGCTTAAGTTGGTTTTTGTAAACGACTTGTGTGTGTTTCGTAAAATATACTTTATTTTAAAATTAGGGCTTCCTGTTGCAGCTGTTCCAGGAGCTCTGAGTCCTTTGGCCATTCCAAATGCTGCTGCAGCCGCTGCTGCAGCCGCTGCTGGCCGAGTGGGTATGCCTGGAGTCTCAGCTGGTGGCAATACAGTCCTGTTGGTTAGCAATTTAAATGAAGAGGTTAGTAAAATAATTTCTAATGTTTGCTCTTTAACTCCATTTCATTTGTGAAAGTTTTTCATGTTTATTTCATTTTGCACTTGCCTTTTTTTTTTTGTTAATGTACATTCATTAGTCAAAGTATTTTCTGTATGTTTCCACTTCTGAATAAAATCTACGTACTTGTTTAGGTAATACTTTATTTCCTTAGACAGTCAAATCTCTTTATATCTATATGTGTATATTTTTTTGACTTAACTACCTATTTTTCCTAAGAAAAATATGGTGAAGTACCATAGTTTGGCTTTTTATCTTTTTGTTGTTCTCAAGGGCAAATGTGATCTAATTTGCAAATTTAACTGTAAAACAATTTTGCTCTTTGCCTTTTCTAATTGTTTGCTTGTTCATTTCATGCTTATGTGTCATTGCATTTTTTTAAATCTTATTTTATGTGAACTACTCTAATACATTTTTCTTTGAAGGTTCTTCCAAAGATCTTGACGAGGCACTCTTCCAGTCTTTCTTAGTAATTTTTTCTTTCCAGTTATTAGTCATTGTCTTCTAAAAATATTTTTCAACTTTATCCCCCCCGCCTTGTTAAATAAAATTTATTGTTTAGTTATTTTCTTTAGTTGTACATTTTATGTCTGGTATATTTTATTTTGATTGCTATGAAAGCTGGTATGAAATGTGGGAAGCTCAATGTATCAGTTTATGATGTCTAATTTGAATATTTGTTTCATTTTTAATTGGCCTCTTAATATGAACATTACGCTTATTTTATCATTTAATACTATTATCATTCACAGTTCTGCATGCTAAAATGTTTGAATCAGAGTGTCTTTGTTTTTATTTTAAGACTTTTGCCTGCATTTCATAACCAGCCATGCTTATGCAGTTAAAGTTCAAAGTTTAAAATTCCTGTGCATGCTTTCCTTCCCTATGTTGAGATGAAATGCTGTAATTTACTCTTGATATAGATGTACTTTACCCATATTTGTCTTGGATGACTACATTTTACTCAGTTTTTCTTGTACAGTACATAAACCAACCATTTTCTGACCAAATTCCTGCATTTCCTATGTACTGACCTATATTTTATTTTTTTTTTGTTCCCCAATTCCTTATTTTTTTCTTCTGCATTGCTGTTTCCCTTCCCCATTTCATCCTTTTCCCTGTGTGTTCACCTTCCCTTTCCTTGTCTTTTCCCAAATACCCATTCCCTTCCCTGTCTTATCCTTTATTTTCCTTGTCCTTGTCTTCATTCCCTGTCTCCATTCCCTATGTTCATGCTTCTGTGCTTGAACAAATGTTCCTCGGACCAACTTGCCCCAATTAACCGCCTTGAACCATGATCCATGACCACCTCACCATTCTGCGGGAACCACCCTTCGTTATGGATGATCTGTTCATCTCCGCTCTTCCTCGACTCTTCTCTCTTCTTGTCTTACGCTGCTTGCTCTTCTCTCCTTCTAAAGATGGTTACGCCCCAAAGTCTGTTTACCCTCTTCGGTATGTTATTGTTAGCACTATACTTTTATTATTGATTTGATTTTTGTTTCACCTTAATTCTTATTTGTAGCTAGCACTTTGGCTTAAAGTTGAATAGTAAATCTTTTGCTATTTTTCTTTGCTATTTAAAACTCTCCATAGACACAAAATTTGTTTTAATGCATGCTGATTTATTTTGCATGGTCTTTAATTTAATATCATTCACATAGCTTTGAGGGTTTATCAAAAATTATTCTTTTCAAAATTCACTGTTCAAAATCTTGATCTTCTTTATTCATTTGTGAGAATGATGAGATTGAATGAGTGATCATGTTGATGTCTGAATGTTTCATTGATATGTCAGAAAGATAATCGTTAGCTGACTTGCACGTAAAATTAATTCTATTTTTGGATTACCTCTCTGTGACTCCAAAAAAGGTGTTTATGGAGATGTGCAGCGTGTGAAGATTTTGTACAATAAGAAAGACAGTGCTCTAATACAGATGGCAGATGGAAACCAATCACAACTTGGTAAGACTAAACTCTGTGTTATCTACACATCTTCAGTTCTGATTTCAAATACATAATATAAATCTGTGAACAAAAATGAACCCCTTACATCAGTAAGAAATCATTTCATTTATTTTTTTAATGGCCAGGGCTCAAAATATTTTTATTTTTCATATTTTATTGTGAATAAGTTGTCCATAATGGACTTAACGTGTTTGATGTTTATGGTCTCTTCCTGCCATTTCTCAAACACAATCTAAAGAGAAAAGAATTTAGCTCCCAAATTGTGATAACAGTATTACATAAGAATAATAACATTTATATCAAAGATCCTCCTTAGTGTTTTTCATTCCAGCTGTTCCTTATAACAGAAGCTTACTGTTCATATATAGTCCATACAATCCTGATTAATGCATGTTATTTTAATTCTTCTAAAGTCATTTATTTTAAGTGACTAAACTTAGTAATGGGAAGTGTCACATGAAAACCGAAAGATACTTAAGTACAGAATAAAAAACCTGTGTCAAAATGTTGTTGTTAGTCCCTTTGGGAATCTTAAGATACACTTTAGTCAAGTTCTATCATTACTTAGATAAATAATGGATTTTGATTAAATTTATATCTCATTTGATTTTATACACAAAGTTAAATTACATAAATCTGGAATACAACAACATACAGTAATGATTGACTGTAAATACCAGTATGTTCATAGTTTATAATTCAGTATTCAGTTCATTGAGATTCAGGAATGATGGTGCCTCAGTCTAACTGTATCTACATATCTGCATTGTTAATTTTGAAATTTGGGTTTTCTTGGTTTGGGGTTTTTTTTTGTAAGCATTAGTGTATTTTTGCTGTTATTCATGTGAAACTCAAGAGATGAACAGCACGATATTCTAGACCAGCTTTGGCCTTTGGAATCAGAAAAGTTTGAATTTTGGTTAGATAGAAAAGTTTGGATTTCAAATAGGAATTTTAAACTTATTGTTTCTTGGCAGTAATCTTAGCAACTCAAACACGGTACAAAACTATTTTTATATGGTGATACCTATTTTAGATGAAAGATACGTAAGAGTGCTGCTGTCATAGATATTGTAAGTAGCAATTTGATGGTGATTCATAGTCAACAAAGCATTCTTAAATGTTATTTTTTTCTCATTAACATTTGAAATATGGGTCTCATTACTTCATAAATAAAGGATACAGAATCATGGTTGAGAATTTCCTGGGATAGAAATAAATAAACCAAATTCTTCTGAAAAGTTTTTTTATTTTTGTTTGGTGTAAAAACTATTTTAAATAAGTAGTATTTTAATTTTTAATCCTAATTGGAGTCTGCTCGGGCTGCCATAATCATTTGGGTGACTTAAAAAATGGAAAACTAATTTTCTCAGTTTTGAGGGCTAGATGTCTCAGATCAAGGTGCGAGCAGATTTGGTTTCTGGTGCAGGCCTTCCTCTTGATTTACCAGCAGCTGTCTTCAGAACCATTGTTCTCATGTGACCTTTTTGCTGAGACAGATCTCTTTCTCCTTCTATAAGGACACCAGTTCTATTGAATTATGACTCCACCCTTACGATTTCATTTAACCTTAACATTACCTCCTGGGTACAGTTACATTGGGGAGTTAGGGCTTCAACATAGGAATTTGGAGAAACACAATTCAGTTTGTTCAGTACTTACATTTGTAAATCATTTACCCCCACTTTCATAAGAAAGTTTTGACTTCTCAGTAGCATGATTTATAATTTTTGGACTTCATGTTGTGGCTAATAATTTACTGTTTTTCATTACATTCTTAAAGTGTATGACCCTAAAAAAAAAATCCATACCATCTCTGTCTTTAAAACGCACATGTACATTCCCACTCAAAACCCACACAAAACTAAGTGTATGCTATTGAGAAAAATAAATGAGACTTAAAATTTTTCTGGGTTTTTTTTTTTTTTTGCCTCTGGTGCCATTCTTTGGTTTTCTTGGGACTCTATTTGGATATTTTCATTGCTTTATGTTATAGGCAGATGTCTTTATGCTTAAGAACTAGGATGAGAAATAAATGGCAAGGGAAGATACAGTCAATAATGTTTGAATGTGAATGAGATCATTGCAAATTTTACAGGCTATGTTAAATTGTTTCACACCAGAATTTTTAAAGTGCAAACATTAAGATGTTTCTTTGATAAACTTTGTGCCATAAGCCTATTTAATAGATAGAAAAATTTTAAAATTTGAATATTTTAAGAACAATGTAATTTATAAATTCTCATCTTTAAAAATAGTATACTGGGGCCAGCCGCAGTGGCTCATGCCTGTAATCCTAACACTGGGATATCCACCCACTGAGGCTAGTGAATAGCTTGAGCTCAGGAGTTCTAGTACTCTAGGAGGCAGAGACTGATAGATAGCTTGAGCTCAGGTTCAAGACCAGCCTAAGCGAAAGTTAGACCGCATATCTAAAAATAGCTGGGTGTTAGACAGGCACCCGATGTTCCAGCTACTCTGGAGGCTGAAGCAAGAAAATTTTAGTTTGAGGTTGCTGTGAGCTATGTTGCTACAGCACTCTACCCAGTGTGACAGAGTAAGACTCTGCCCCCACCCCAAAAAAAGGTTTATGGTAAAAGTGTCTAGTTTCTATAATTTATGTTTTTACCAACTGCTTATAAAAAACTTGTTTTTCATTAAATGTTAAGATGCAGTTGCCATCTCAACAGTAAGCTGAGTTCTTGTTCATAACAAATCTTCACCTAAATTATATCTATCAAAGTGTTCTATAAATGAATGGAAAATATTACTCTAGTGTTATGGCATTTGACCAATTTTTAAGTATATGTATATATTCACTTCCATTGTCATAAGTAATTTAGTAACAAGTCAAACTTTGAGGCATTGTAGTGTCATAAAGGATCTCAAGATATCTTTTCCCCAAAACCAAACAAGGGAAGGAGGGGAGAACAGCAAATGATACGCAGAAAGATAGGGAAAAAAATAGAAATTAGGATAGAATCAAGACCTGATGTATCAATAATAACGACAAAAAGGAATATAGTTGATTTTTCAAAAGGTCCCTATATGCTCTTTAAAATAGACATAGAAGCACAGAATATAGAGAGATTGAAGGTAAAGGAATATATTGGGCAAATAGCCCAAGAAAATTCAACATGATTTTATTTAAAACCAAAAGTATTGATAAAAGATTTAGTTTACTAGGAAGATAACAGTTTTATGTGTATTTATGCTTAGTGAAATAACCTCAAAATGTATAAATTGTAAATAGAGCTTCAGAATTGACCAAATCCATCATAGTGGTAAATCAACCCCACCTTCCTGAATTACATGTCAAGCAGACAAAAAAAAATCAGAAAAATCCAAATGATACAACCTAATTCTTTGTTACTGCGTCTAACAGTTACGAATCTGGCACCTTTTTGAAAGCATGTATGGAACATTTTTATAAAGTGATCACTCAAACATAAATAAAGCAAGCTTCAGTTAATTTCAGAGAGTAAATATTATACAGACCTCATTCTCTATTGCACAGTTAGAGTTAATAAAAATTTAAAATCTCCATGTAACTGGAAGTTTAAAAATAAGGCCTAGTATTCATCGGTCAAAAGCTTGTTTTAATGGGAGTTTACAAATACTTAATACTAGATGATATTGGAAGTACTATATACAAATTAGATATGTGTGGTACAGTAGAAGAGGTCTTTGGAAAGAAGTTCTAACTTTAAGAAAATTGCGTAAATCCAAGGGAAGGGGATGCTAAAGCCAGGCCTAGAGATAGTGGTGTAGAGGACAGTTTGAAAGAAAAACACAGCCAGAAGTTGAGTTTTTTGAAAAGTCTAGTGATAGACAAGTATCTGTAAAGATTAAGAAAAGAGAGTGTGGTATAAAAATGAAAATCAGTGCTTAATTTCATTCAGTCATTGTGATTTTTGACAAAAAAAAAATTTGTTTTTTTAACTTTGGTTTTCTATTTGCCTCTCTTTCCTTCTCCTTTAAATTGCTTCTCATCTTTTTGTCAGCAATCAGCTGACTTAACTCTTTCTCATTACCTGGCTACTCCCTGAGGTAGCTGTTTGGTAATTTTGCTTTATTGTAGTCTTATTCCTTTATCATCCATCTTTTCAGAATATACTTAATAGACCTAGGACTTTTTATTGTTTTCTTATTCCTACCCTTCATCATCACAAAGCTCAGCTGTTTTGTAGTCTTTTTATTGGGACAGCTTTCTCAAGGCAGCCTTAGTCTCCTTTCCTTACACTACTTTATTCCCAAACTCATATTTTATAATACATTTTGTCTGAGGTACAGCACGTTATCATAGAAGCTTGTTCACTTGAAACAGTAGAATTAATAGGACTTTTAAAGTGTTTTGTAATTCAATGGTTTTATTATAAAAGGATTTTATGTACTATCACTGTAGATAATTAAAAATTGGTTTTATAAGTGTTGAGTGTTAATTTATAAGTGTGTGTGAAATGCATTGTAAGAAACTAGTAAGAGAAGATTTAGGCCCAAACGATGTGTTTTTTTTTTTTTTTTTTTTTTTCTGTTAGCCTCAGTTGAAAATCTGAGAGAAAACTGTTATATAACACTGCAGTGACAATTAGGAAGAGTAAACTTGATTTTAAAAATTAGGGACGTTGTTAAGTAAAAGAAGAATTTACTTTTTTTTCCTATTCGTATTTCATACTTCCACAGCATAGATTTGTTTTATATTTAATTGGCTTATTTTATACATGTATGACAGGATTCATTGATTTAACAAATTCTTGGTATCTTCTGTGTCAGAGTGTGTACCATAATATACTAATTATTGTATTAAAATTCTTAGTAGTTTCTTTTCTCAATTCCTTACTCTTCCAAATTATCTTTACCTCTCTGCTGTTAATACTTAAATACTTTTGTTCAGTTTTATTATGATCATTTAGATTTTCAATTTAGCCAAAAATGTATGACTTACTAGAAATGGCTTTTTTTTTTTGAGACGGAGCCTCAAGCTGTCCCCCTGGGTAGAGTGCCGTGGCATCACGCTCACAG